AGGCAGGGGCGTAAACATGGATATGACTTTTGAAAAAAATATTGTAGCAAAATATACATAAAATTATTTAAATCCTTTTAATTTGTATTGTTCAATAGCATTAATTACATTCACATTGTTATGCAACAACTACCACCATCCATCTCCAGAACTTTTTCATTTTTCCCAACTGAGACTGTACCTAAGAAACAATAACTCTCCATTCCTCTTCCCTCGTTCCACAGCAGCTACAGGCTACTTCCTGTCTCTATGAATTTGCCTTTTCTAGGTGATTCATATAAGTGGAATCATAATCATTGTTCTTTTGTTCCTGGCTAATTTCATCTTACCGTGTGTCATAGTTCCCTTCCTTTTTAAGGCTGAATAGTATTCTATTAGATGTCTACACTTCATTTTGCTTTATCTATTCACTTGTTTTTAGACACCTGGGTTGTTTTCACCTTGTGGCTATCATAATGAACATGTCTTCGCTATTGCTGTGGTCATGGGATATCTCCTCAAATTTAGGCTTTCATTTCTTTTAGGTATATATCCAGAAATGGAATTGCTTGATCACATGGTAAATCTGTGTTCAACTTTTAAAGGAATCATACCATTTTCCCTAGCAGCTGCACCATTTTATATTCCCATCAGGAACCCACAAGGATTCTAAACCCCTCATATTCTCAGTCTTCTATCATATCAATATTTATTTATTTATTAGCCATGTTCAGGGGTGTGAGATGATATCTCATGTGCTTCTGTTTGTTTGTTTTTTTTTTTGGTACCAGGGATTGAACTCGGGTCCTTGTGCTTGCAAGGCAGGCCACCGAACCGCTGAGCTAAATCCCCGGCCCCTCTCATGTGCTTTTGATTTGCATTTCTGACAATTAACGGTGTCAAACATCTTTTCATATACTTGTTGGCCATTTATATATCTTTTTGAGAAATGTTTGTTCAAGTCCTTTGCCCATTTCTGAACTGGGTTTTTCATGGTTCAGATAAACTTTTTTTTTTTGGTACTAGGGATCGAACTCATGATCTTGTGCTTGTGAGGCAGGTATGGTTGCCACTGAGCTAAATCCTGGCCCTCAGATAAACTTTTGAAACAAGTACCAAGAGCTGCTGTGCTGAGAGGAAAGAAAGAGTGAGTGGAGTAAGGAGGACAGAGCAAGAGAAGAAAGGAGTAGGGAGAGGGAGAAAGGGTAGAGAAAAGCTTCTGCAGTGTGGGGCACAAGGAAAGCAGCCCTTTAATTTTTTATTCAGCAAATATTTATTGAGCACCTGCTGAGTGGTCTTACTTCTCCAGCCAGGTGTCACTGTCTACACGTGACTCAGTTCCCCATTCTGGCTCTCTGCAGTGACCCTGTGGTCTCCAGGAGCCAGAGCTGGGAGTAGTTAAGCCCAAAGGCTCTGTGGTCAGTCAGGGTAGGCTTTGAATTCCTAAAGTGGAGCATGCATGCCTTTGAACAAATTACATCACCTCCCTGAGCCTCCCCTTCCCCATTATAAAATGAGGCTAAGGCTAGAAATAAAATACATAAAGTGCATGGCAAGGGGCAGCACAGAGACGTATGCCTCAGTCAGCTTTTGTCCTCTGAAAAGGCCATCCTGCCCTCTCTCTCCTCCACATGCAGCTTGGTCTCAACCTAGAGCTGCTCCTCTGCGAGTTTGATTCTTGGAATCGGAGGCCCCGTCTCCTGAGGACTGGCAGACACTTCCTACGTAGACACTTGGTCTGAGCAATGCTAGCCAGTCAGGATGTAAGTCTAGAAACCTACAAAGGCAGAGCAGGAGTGCAAACAGTGGGGTTTCCAGGAAGGTGGACAAGAAGGCAGGACCAGCAGGGCTGGAGGACTGGAAGGGCTAAGAGGCAGAGACTGCAACAGCCAACTAGGAAATGAGAAACTGAATACTGATGAGTGGGATTCCCGTTTTAGGGCTGATATTCCAGGGTCCTTTGTTCACCAGGGCTTTCTCTGTCCTCCACTGATCGTGCCTCATTCCCTCTCTGCTGTCACATAGCCCTGAGGTCAGAAGACAAATCCTGAGGTGTAGGGTCTTTCCTTTCTCTCTCTTGCAGCCCAGCTAAACTCAGTGTTTGTTTTTTTTTTTTAATTTCCAAGCCATGTACAGTGGTGTTCACCTGTCATCTCAGCATCCCCAGAGTCTGAGGCAGGAAGATCACAATGTAAGTTTAAGGCCAGCTTGTTAGTGAGACTTTGTTTCAAAAGAAAGAAAGACAAAAAAAAGGACGGAAATATAGCTCAGTGGCAGACCACTTGCCTAGCAAGTACAAAGACCTGAGTTCAATTCCTAGTATCATCAGAAACATAAATTATTTCCTTTCTTGCTTGAATACAAATGTGTATTCACAAGTGGTTAGCACAGTGGGTGTAGAAGCAGGGTCCTTGGTCAGAGTGCCTAAGTGCAAGTTCTAACCCTAACTCTCATTAGCTGGTCTGCCTTGGGCAACTTATTGATCTCCTCTGAGCTTCAGATTCTTTCTGTGAAAAATAAAGATAATACGCTCCCCCCTCATGAGGTTGCTATGAGGAGCAGGAGCTATAATTCGTGTAAAGTACTTACATGGGGCCTGTGCTCAGTAAGGGCCTCACGTTAGCAATTGGTAACATGATATACAAACAAAAAGTGTTCGGGCATCTTCAATCCAGGCTGCCCAGAGCCTTTACAGGAGAACCGTGGGGTGAGATTGTACATCTGTTCTCGTGGCTCCTATCTGGGCACTGACCAGACTGCTCTGCCTCTCCCCAGATGCCTAGCAAATAGCAGGAATTGGTCCTCGTACCTCTGAATTTCCCAGAGCCTGGCCTGTGGAGGATGGTGAGGAAAATGGACCCCTAGACAATGGGCTGGGTTACTGAGAGCCCAAGTCTAGGATGTTTCCTGGGGTGAGGTGGGAGAGTATGTGTGGATGTGGTCAGTGGGACAGTCAATCAGGACACATCTGACAGGGCCTGGAGCTGGAGGAAGGGAAATCAGGTTGTACCCCAAATGACATTTTCAGAAAGGACTGTTGTAAAACTTTCACAGAGAAGCCTATGAATGCAGAAAGGTTCTCCCTTCAAGGGACAACCGTGGCATTTCACCTTAATAATATTGTAGCACTAAATGATAGCCATCTCTGGAGGGCTTTCTGTGTGACAGCACCATCACTAAAGCCTTGTGTGCAATAGCTCACTTAATGCTTTTAACAAGAGGAAAAAGTGATTATTTCCTTTTGTGGAAGAAGAAAAGGGGCTCAGAGATGTTAATTAAGTCTCTTGCTCAAGGCAACTCAGAAAGGGAGCCAGAATTCACATACTTGCTCTGCAAAAGTTCCCATGGATTCTAGAGCTGCATAACTAGCCCAGAAGATGTGGGAGATTTAGGGGCATCAGACCCCCATCCCCATTTCCCCCAGGGCCCTCTGGGTTACTGAAGCCCTGCTGTTACATCAGTTGGGATGGGGGGCGCATCAGGCTCAGGCATGTGGTGCTGAAAGGCAAGACAGAGCCACCTCCAGGACTGGCGCTCCCAGGCACTGTCCCTTCCAGGGCAGTTCTTCCAGCTGTGGCTTCTCCATCCCTTCCAGATGGCTCTGATGCCTCAGCTCTAAACTGAGGCATACTGAGGTCCAGAGGGAGGCTTATGGACTGACTAGCACTACTGTAATGCCAGGGCATGTGACTTGGTTCCCCTTCTTCAGTGACCAGGTTCTGTAAGGGTTGTGCCCAGTGGCTGATCTCTTTTTCCTTTTGGTGCCCACAGTGCCTGGGGGTGGTGGTGTCAGCTTTCTTATACTTCTATCCCCAACTTATGGCATCTCTAAACTTGTGGCCACATTTAGGGGCTCATTCTGTTACAGCTGAACAAATTTGCTTGATTTTCTTGGGGCTACAAGAAATTAGGATCTCAAGGTCAGAAACCCACCCCTCTGTTGCCCCTGGTGGTTGGAACGGGGAAGCCCAGTGCTGAGGGCAGCATGCGCACTGACTAGGTTTGAACTTGCCTTAGCATTTCCTCCTGTGGACAAGTGACCTAATGTCTAAGTCTGGGGCCTCATCAGGGAAAGGGCATGAGGACCCTTTCTCACAAGATTATTGCACAGGTAGAGGGGCCCATCTGTGAGGTGTGTGCACTTAGCAAGGGTCCTGGACCTTGTGCTGGTCCAATAAATGTCAGTGCTTGCTATGCAGGACAGAGATGGAGTTACCCCAGCGAAACAGCCTTATTTGACCACTCGGTTGACTGCCATCTATTCTTGCTCATGGTATCATTGTTTCTTTGGTTTAGTTTGTAATTACAGTACACATGTGTTTGTTTACTTGTCCAGGAGAGCAGGCCCCCTGTATTTTTTCCACTACTGGATCACTGGCACCAGTAGTAGGAGCACTGTCCATGTTGAATGACAGCCCCTTCCCCGATCTGTTCCAGGCAGAGCCGCTCTTTTTTCAGAGGACATGGATTTCAGGGGTCTCTGTCTTCCCTAGGTCCCTCCAGAAGTGACTGCAGCTGGGAAGGGCTAAATGCTCTGTCTGTGCCAGCCACAGAGTAGCTGGTGAAAAGAACTGGCTGGGGCCAACACTGGTTCTTACACTCACCTGGAAGGCTGTGTCCAAGACGAGTGATGGGGTCGTTCTAAGACTACTTCTGCTATCCATGGTCTGTGGCTGTCTAGCCTGTGTCCTCACAGTCACACTGCATCTTCACCAGCAACCAGCACCCTGCATGGTGGTCCTCTTTCACCTGGGGCTGGGCCTGGCTTTTGGGGAAACGTTTCCTGCCTGCTTACTTTCCAGCAGCTCTATCTCCTTTTAGAACTCTCCTACCTTCTGCCCTCAACTGAAACCAGGGCCCCAAAGCCTTGTCAGATGTGTGGGGCTGGGGGAGGCACTGTGAGTCCAGATGTGATTGTGTTTATGTTCCAGAGAGTGAGGGTCGGAACTCTGGACTGGAGCTGTTGGGGGAGGGGAGGTCGGGCTGTCCCAGCCTTCCCTCCCCCACCTTTCTCTTTCCAGCCTATGTTTCTGGCCTTGAATTCCAAATCCTGAAAGAAGTCAGGCTGAACCATCCCCCAGGGAGGACCTTTCTCAATCACTCATCTGAAGGTGAGAAGAGCAACAGAAGGACATTTGGCTGTGGAATCTCAAAGCCTGCTGGCTCTGTGTGACCTTGGCCCAGTTGGAGTCTCATGGAGCCTAGGTTGGGGGTATGGCTAACACTCCTGACCTCAGGTCAGTGTTGACCTGGTTTGAGAATGTGTGTATAGAGCTCTTCAGCTCTCAGCTCATGAAGGAGCCATTTGGTTGTGCAACATTACAGCTCCAGCCTGGGTCCAGCTCCAGGACAGTGCCAGTCACCATCATAAGGTGATTCTGAAGCTGAACCTCAACCCCTCCTTCCTCCCCTGCTGCAGCTGCAAACATTTTGTTCTGCCATTAGAAGTGACTTACTTAGGGAAGCAGAATTTTACAGGCAGTTTACAGGCTGGTCTTGTTCAGTAGTTTCCAAAAGCCAGGGGAGGGTGTAGGCGACCAGCAGCCCCCATAAGTTGGGTTGGAAGGGAAGTGAAAAGTGAGTCCTGTGTGATGGACACTTTCTCCAGCCCATTCGGCCCAGCTGTTAGCCCAGGTTGGGAGCTAGGCACCCTGAGGCATTAGGGTGAAAGGCAGAGGAAAGCTCTGGCTGGCTAGGCTCCCATGGTAATCGAACCAAAGGAGAAAAGGTAACCCTGCCCCTCAAGAGGCTCGAAAAGGCCCCCACCCGAGGTTCTGGGCAGTCAACGGCCCCATAATACTCTGGGGGGGCCTTGATGGTCATCGAAGACACAGCTTGTGAGAGCTTGTACAATTTGGAGCCCAGGGGAGAGGGTCCTCCTAGGGCTGCCATCTCTGTGTCCTGTGTTGGAGAGGCTGCTCACCCGCAGCAGGGCGCGGAGAGCTCAGAACACCCGGGATGAACAGGTCAGGAATGGCAGTGGGGAAGCAGGGTCAGGGGAACCCTATGGAGGGCTGCCTCGGTTCTTCCCAATTCCCCGTGATCTTGGGTGACACAGTTCCATTTGTCAGCCTCCCTTTTCAGCCAAATGAAGCAGTCAGGGCCCAGCAGTGCTTTAGCACGCTCGGACTATGGTTTTAATAGACGTACATGGACAAGTCGATATAGACAGATTTATAATTCTATACAGTCAGTCCGACATACACAGGGACGCTGTAAACAGGGGCGCGGGCCGGAGAGCGGGTGTGCAAAGTGGGCGCGGGCCGTAAAGCCGCGCCCTGCGCTCTCCCGGCTCCACTCTTGCACGGAGGACAGGGAGGGGACTGTTCCCGCGGCCGGGACAGGGGGCCACCTACTGGACCGCAAATGGAGCCTGGAGCCGGGGCCTCCTTCTGCGGCTAAGCTCGGGGCTAGGATGCTCAGAGAGGAGCACTCCTCTTCCTCCTGCCTTGTCCGCTTGGCCAGCTGCGGCTCTGTGGCGGCATTAACAGAGGTGCGAGGGTGACGAGGACTCTTTGGTGTGCCTGGGCCTGTGCGAGTCCACGGCGGGGGGCCATCCCCAGCCCAATACCCGCTCTGAGCCGAATCCGATTCGAGCTAAGGTGCGCTCGGCCGGCCCAGCTGGGAGAGGGGGACTTGGTTCGTGCGGGCCGAAGGGGAATCCCAGGCCCATCTAGACTCCACATATTGGGTTTGAAGGCGGCAGCTCAGGCTGGGCCGCGGAAAGCGAGGGCGTCCTCTCCTGGCCGCTCCGCTAGGCGCTCACTTTCCGTGACGCTTCGGCTCCGTAGAGAGGGCCGCCCGGCCTGTGGGACGAACACATACCACCCGCGCCATCCCCGGGGAAATTGCAACTCATCCATTTTTTTTTTCGCGGCACTTTTCTCCGACCTTTTTTGTTTTGTTTTTTTGGTTTTTTTGGAGGGCAGAGTGGGGGCCCAGAAAAGGAAACACAAAACCAACCTGGAGGTGGGGAGGTGAAGAGGAGGGGGCTACCCAGGTGCAAGGTCCGAGATGGCAAGCCGAGCCCTGTGTGAGTCCTCTGCGCCCGCGCCGCGCCGCGCTCTCAGCTCGCGTGGCCTGGCTGGGCGGTCAGCTATTGTACTGGCACGCGTTGAGGCCCGAGGCCGGGCCTTGCAGGCCGCCGTAGCCGAAAGACGAGTGCTGCTTAGACTTGAGCCTGAGACTGGCTAGGCTCGAGTTGCACGTGTCCCGGTAGACGCTGTAGGGCGAGGCGGGTGTGCCGTAGGGGCAAGCGCCCGGTGACATGGCCGAGTTAAGCGAGGAGCTGGTGAGGTTGTTGATGTTGTTGAGGCCCGAGTTGGGCATGCCGGGCACTGCGCCCGGGCCCATGCTGGACGGCATGGTCATGGAGGAGATGGAGCTGGGTGCAGAGAACATGGACTGCGAAGACAGCGGGCTCATGGAGTTGAAGAAAGTGAAGCTTTTAGTGGAGAGCGGCGCTGGCGCCAGGCTTTTAGCGGCCCAGTTGTTGTAGGAGTAGCCGGCGGCGTACACGTCCTCGTAAGGCTGCACCAAGCCACTGAACTGCGGTACGTATCCGCCCTTGCACAGGTCCAGCTGCTGGTTACGCTCGCGTTTCCGCCACTTGGCTCGCCTGTTCTTGAACCAGACCTGGGGAAGGGGGCGGGAGAAAGGTCAGGGCTGCGGAGGGCGGGAAGGGCCCCTCATCCCTCTTTTCCCAGCCATCTGGAGCCCTCCTCTCGCTTCCTTCTCTCCAAACATCGTTTCTTTTCTTTCACGGATGTTTCTGCCCCCACTTTCTATCTATAATAGTTACTCTCCTGGCTCCAGGAAAATAGTATTTTTCTTCTTTTGATCTTTATCATTTTCTCCAAATTAAATCAATTTTCTTCTAATAGTGATTCCGTTTTGCTTTAACAAATATTCGTTTTCCTCCTCTCTACCAGTCTGCCCTCTACCTTCTCGCCCAAACCGGTCCCTATCTATATTCTAAATATTCCAAACATTTTCTTTCTCAGATACTAAGGGTACTTTTTTTTTCTCCCCCGAAACAAATGCCTCTGTCTCCAATTTTAGTCTTACCTTCATCGCTCAAAAAGCCTGTTTTCATCTTTATTGGCAATGTTGGATATATTTTCATTTTTGTCCTAAATGTTTATCCCTGTCTGAACCTTTCTTCTTTCTCAGTCTACTTTCTTATTTATCCTTCATTTATTATTATACTTTTGATTCTTTTCCAAATATTTCGTTTTTTCTTTTTTTCCAAATATCTGACCTTCACTGTTTCTCTTGATACTTTTGCTTCTCCTTTAAATATGTAATTTCTTTCTTGCGACTTAAACATACACCAAATGTGTTTCTCTGCAAATATTTAATTTCCTTTAGTTTACTACTTTCTCCCTAATCTCCTTTATTCTCACCCAAATTTTGTTAAGAATGTCTTTTTTTCCCCAATTGCCAGATCCTTTCCTATCCTCACCTATCACAGCCCACCCAATGAATATATCCTTGCTCTCCTTGACCTTTTTCCAGCCCCAAGGCTGTTTCCCCTCAGCTTACCACTGGGGCCTCTGCATTTCAGCTTTCTCCAAGCCCCAGTACTGATTGATTCTATCTCCTCCCCGCCCTGCCACCAAAAACCCGGAGAGGATTAGAGTTCAGGACTTCTGAGTGCAGCGTCTTTGCTCTAAGTCCCACCAGGATGGCCAGCTTGACTGGGGAAGGGTAAAGATGGGTTATAGCAGGGAGTCTGTGGGCCAAGTGGGACTTCAGTCTGGCTTAGGATGTGCTCCTAATATCTGATTAAATATCTGTTCACCCGGAGAAGAAATGATTCCTTTATTTCTCCGTCAGGAAAACTTTGTGTTTACTGACAACAAAATGGTGAGTTGAAGGAGAATATAGTCTGGTCTTGGGTCTGAGACACTATTTTCCAAAAGGGACTACTAGGAGAGCCACTCTGACACAACCCCCCCCCCCCCCATCCAGGGTGACTCCCAGACTTACAGTAGTAAATAACATGAAGCCGAGATTCCAGCTAGTGCCTGGCTGGATAGCCAGGGAAGGTGGAGCCTATTCTGAGATTCTGGAGAAGTGCAGAAGGAAACCATTGCTCCAAGAAAGAAATTATGGGACTCAAATGCAGGCACTTTCCAGGCCTCTTTGAGGCAGCCAGGAGGGACCTTTTTCTTTTGTTTTTGGTGGAAGGCTACTGAGCCAGAGGTCCCCAGTAGTGGGGAATCCTTTGCCTAATTTTTGGCCCCGAGTATCCCGTAACATGCGAATGTATCCTGGGCTCTTCATGGCATGGGAGAGTCCCATCCGAGCCGCAGAGCCCAAGGGTCAGGTAAAAAGGGCTGGGAAGGGGCAGCACCTGGGGTGCTAGCAGCCTAGGGGCCTAGCAGACAAGGGGTGGCCAGTTTAAGGTGGGGTCTCCAGTGGAGGGCAGGAGCAGACTATCGTATTGGGAGAATGAAAGTGTGATTGCAGTCTTGGCTTCTGAGGGCTGCTGCTGCCTGCTTGCAGACCAGTACACCGGCCCCCTTACACACGCTTCCCTCGCTCACCCGCACACGCGGCTCGGTAAGGTTGGTCCACACGGCAATCTCCTCCCTCATGCTCATGTCAGGGTAGCGGTTCCTCTGGAACGTGGCCTCCAGCTCTTGTAACTGTTGGCTTGTGAAGTGCGTGCGTTGCCGCCGCTGTTTTTTCTTTTTGGCTGGGTCCTCAGTGCCACCGCAGCCTGCGCTGCCCACACCACTGTCTTCAGGCCCCTTGGGTTCCCCGCCTCGCTCCTTCTCTGCAGCAGGCAGGAACAAGTGCGGATCACTTTGGGCTTATGTCCTTTTGCACCCGTTCCCGGCTCCACCGAAATGCCAGAGGTCAGCGCTGGCGGCCCTCCCGCCCACCAGGGGCTCTGGGAGAGGTCCCCATTTCAAAGAGCTGCCTGGGTGCTGGTCACCTGTTGGCACCACAGGTCTGGCATACTGCAGAAAAGAGCCCAGGAGCTGGCACCGCTGTCCTGGGTTCCTGACTGGGCAGGGCCTGCTCCCACAGCTCAGCTCAGGCTCTGGCCCAGCTGCTCCTGTCACCCACAAATGCAGTTTTTGCTGGCACTTTGGGTTCTAAATTGGGGGGGGACCTGCCTGCTTTTTCTGAAATAGATCTTTCTAGACTGAAGTTAGAGCTTAGTGGAGTCTGAACCAGGTGTCCCAAAACCTCTCTACTTATTTTATTTTTCTCCAGGGCTGAGCGGGGAGCCCCAGCACAGAGGGTTTTCGATCTTACATGTAGGCTTCTAGTCCCAAGGCCTAGAAAACACCCCAACTGCAGCCCAGACAGACATATCTAAGTGACTTTGGTCTTCAACCTCTTTCTTTAAAGCTAAGCAAAACACACACGGTCATAGAAACACTGAAACAAAAAAATTTAAAACAAAACACAGAAGCCCAGAAAAGTTCACAGCTCTCTGTCTAAAAACACAGAAAAGGTCACAAATTCTCAACAACAGGCAGGTAGAAACAGAGCAAATGTAAATGAAGAAGCCAGAAACTGTGCAAACACACCTCTAACTAAATACAAAACTGTACTTGTATAAACTCCAGGCAATCAGACACATTTATTTCTCTGAGATTAAAAAAAATCCACCTATCATTGTAGAATGAATTTTGACCCCTTTCCAATAACACCTTGTAGACATAATTTTTAAATCTTGAAGAAACACATATTTAGATATTTTAAATTCCCCAAATAACACCGATGTAAATAGATTTTTGAGAAAAATCTCGGAGAAATACGCCATTTTGGATTAACTTTTAAAAATTGCTCCAATTTTGTATGTACATATTTTAAATTCCAGAGAAATACACCTAGCTTATTCTTTCAAAATAAAATTACAGTTAAAGTTACTAATTCGTGTTAATAAATCTAGTTAAAAATCAAACTATATTGCTCTGTGCTTTAAAAATAAGAACCAACTAAACACCACGCGTAAAACTTTTGAAAACAAAAGTACAGTCCAGGCTTTATTATCTCTTAACCAAAACAGGTAAAGTCTCTTGCAAAACAGAAACAGATTTAAAATGCAGAGGGAAACATTGAGCGGTGGATTATGAAATGAGCGCAAAAGAGGCGCCCCTGGCCCTGGGAGCCCGGAGTTCGGCGGCGACGCCGAGTTAGGGCTGCGCGCTCTGGGAGTCGGGCTGCCCAGACTGGCCGGGATTCGCCGTGCCACTGCCCGCGCACCCACGAGCCGGCTTAGCTCGCGGTTGGGGAAAAGATTTGAGCTCTCGGACAAATATCGCTAAGGGAGACGTGCCCGAGGCAAGAAGCCCTGGCTGGATTGCCTGGTGGCTCTGAGTTCTGACCCCACAAGTGGGCCGGGATCCCTGGATCCGGGTTCGGCCGGCTTCGCTAGGAGTCGGGACGCCTGTTCGCCGTCTCCGTTCTCCGTATCTTCCTTTTACTTGATATTTCCCTCTCCACCCCTCAATTTGCTTTGCCCGCCCTCCCCTCTCTTCCGTCTCTCCCTCTCAATCTGCAGCTCCCCTCCCCCCGTTCGACCCGGTGTCTGCCCCTCTCCATCTCTGGGCACTTTCTCTCGTCCAGTCACCCACATCCCCTAATCGATCTGCTTCTCTCCTTCGGTGCAAGCGGCTCCTCGGCGCGCCTAGTTGCGCAAAGCCAACTTTTCTCCTCCCGTTCTCTTTGCCCCTGACCAAGATGGGCTGTCAGTCCAACGCTCTGGTTGTAGATTGGTGCATTTGCCGGTCCCTTGGCGCCCGGGAACCGCGTGGAATTGCCTTCACGCGTGTCTATTTCCACGTTCGCCGTCAGGTCGAGACCGGGAAAAAGGAAGGTCCTGACTTTCCTGGGGCGAAGAGGAACCTGGCTTTCGCTGCGCGGGTGCCAGGCCCTCTCCCCGCTCCTGCGTGGGCTCAGTGCGCGCCGCGCGGAACTTCGCGCTTACCTGGCAGCTCCGTGTCCGACGACTCGCTGGCAGAGTTCTCTAGTGGCTCGCGGGGGTCTGCGGCGCGGGCCAGATGGAAGGTGGGCCCCATGTCATGTTTCCTGGGGCGAAGAGGAACCTGGCTTTCGCTGCGCGGGTGCCAGGCCCTCTCCCCGCTCCTGCGTGGGCTCAGTGCGCGCCGCGCGGAACTTCGCGCTTACCTGGCAGCTCCGTGTCCGACGACTCGCTGGCAGAGTTCTCTAGTGGCTCGCGGGGGTCTGCGGCGCGGGCCAGATGGAAGGTGGGCCCCATGTCATGTGC